CTCTAGGTGCTAAGAATAGCTCAGGGAATAAAGGAAATAAGAACAGCCCTGCCCACATGAAGCTTATATTCTGGCATCAAGAAAGGGGATTCAGGAAACACTAAGTACAAGGTGATAAAGCTGTGGAAAAAAATATGAATGAAAAAGGGCATAGGGAATGGTATCGGTCACATAAGACATCCAGAAGGTGCCACTTCATCAAAGACTCAGTGCAAGTTACAGAAGGATCCACATGGATGTCAGGGGAGGAACATTCTAACAGGCTGATCAGCAAGTGCAAAAACTTGAGGGAGGAGGATTCTTGGTATATTTAGGAAACACAACAAAGCCAGTGAGACTGGAAAGAAGTGAGCAAATAGGTAAACATTAAGAATAAGTGATGAGTCTAGGAAGGTGACAAGGGACCAGATTAGGAAGGATATCTGCTTAGTCTCTGAATGAGATAGAAAGTCATTGGAAGGTTTTGAAGCAGAAGGATAACAGGATCTAAGGTATGGTTTTTTTTTTAATATTTTTTATTTATTTATTTGACATAGAGAGAGAGAGAGACAGAGTGAGCACAAGCAGGGGGAGTCACAGGCAGAGGCAGAGGGAGAAGCAGGCTCCCCACAGAGAAGGGGGAGTCCGATGCGGGACTCGATCCTGGGACTCCGGGATCATGACCTGAGCTGAAGGCAGTGGCTTAACCAACTGAGACACCCAGGCGCCCTCTAAGGTATGTTTTAAAAGATTTATTCCTGCTGCTGTGAGGGAACCGCCTTGAGAGGTTATTGCAATAGTTCAGATGAGACTTGATGGTAATAAAAGGGGCAAGAAGTGGTGAGATTCAGTATATATTTTATTTTTATTTCTTTATTTGGCTTTATTTTTTTATCATGGAAAATTTTAAGCAACACAAAACTAGACAGAATGATATGATGAACCACTTTATTCCCATCACTCAGTTCAAAACTGAAAGTCTTTAGTATTATTTTATAACAAATACCAAGTATTATATTGCTTCCTGGATTCAGGATGTATTTTGATAGTGCTGCTAAGACTTGATGATGTTTTTGGTTATATGATATAAGAAAAAGAAAAGAATTAACAATTATTCCAAGGATTTTGGCCTGAGTAATGAGAAGTATGTAGATTTCACTGAGATAGGGTAATCTCTGTAATAATAAAGTATTTGGAGGGTGGATGAAGGAAAACAGGCATTTGGTTTTGTTGACATTGTAGATACTCATAAGAAATCAAAAGTTAAGAAATCAAGGCAGAATTTGGATGCATGATTCAGGACTACAGGTAAAATGTCAAGACCAGAGATACAAATTTGGAAGACATCAGCATACTGACAAAATATAAAGTCACAAACTGGATAAAAAGAGATCTTCAAAGCCTGAGCCCTGGGGCAATCCAATATTCACAGGTCAGGGAGATTTGGAGTAAAAAGTAGAAGCCTAAAATGAGTGGTCAGAGGGATTAGAGTAGAACCAGGAAAGTGTGTGTAATAGAACCCAAGGGAATGATGAGTGTCACAAAAGGGGAAGTGATCAAATATGACAAAATTTGCTTATTGCCCAAGTAATGTGAGGATTGAGAATTGACTATTGAGTTTAGCAACATGGAAGTCACTGGTGAACCTAGATAAGGTCAGTTGCTTGAAATATTAGGGACAGAATCATGACTGAAATACGAGGTAGGTATTGGGGTGAAGTTAGACAACTCAAGGGAATTTGCTATATAAGGGAATACAGAACAGAGTGGTAGAGGAGGGAGAAATGAGATTGAGGGAAAATTTGTTGAGATGGAAAATACAACTGCATGTTTGTATGTTGATGAACAGGATCCACCAGAGTGCAAACATTATATAATGAGGGGAGAGAGGGAATGGCTGAAGTTTTGTTCTTTTGTTTAAAAACGGATGGAGTCCAGCGCATAAGTGAAAGTTTGGCTATACTTGTTAAGAGTATGGGCAGTTTTTTATCGAAATTTAGGAGATATATGCTGAAAGACACATTGGGTAGGTAAGTCAGATGATGATGATGATGATGGTGATGATGATGATGATGATGATGATGATGATGATGATGATTACCACCTTTGAGCCTTATTTTCAGCCTCTTTCCCATATTGTCTCTGAGTTCACACTATTCTGAGCCCCTCCATACTGCCTGTATGCAATGACTGCCCTGGATGCTTTGCTTCAATTCCTTCAATTAGTTCTCATAGCAATTCAGAGAGGTATAATGCATCTTCCCTGTAGCCGACATACTGAGAGATCTTATTCCCATCTTTCACATAACTAAATGCACAAAGTCACACAGATGATAAACAGCAGTACCATTTTCAAATCCAGCCATTTAGACTTACTTAAGTGACATATGTTTAACCATTATAGGTTATAGGAACCACACTCTACCTATGTATAGATTGGATATAGATTTCCATTCAAAAGACTTTGTAAGTTATTATGTGCATGTCTTTATATAGAAATTTTATCATATTTAAATTTAAGAACATTCACATTTTTTTCCACAGTAGATGAGTGATTCTAACTGTATTTCAGAAAGATAACTAGAGACGGTGAGGAGGATGGATTAGAAGGCAAGAAGCTATTGTCAGAGATCAGATCAGTGATGATGGAGATGATAGAATAAAGGTGGCATCGCTGAGCTGTGGCCGAGGTCGACTTGACAGGACAGAATGACTAATAGCAGAGCCAAGAGGCCAGGAGGAGTAAAATATGACTTGGGTTTTTTGTTTGGTCAACAGGATGGAAGGTACTAACATATACCAAGAAAAGAGGGGAAAATATATTTAAGGAGAAGACAGTGAGTATGGTTTGGGGCAGGGTAAATTTAAATGTACTTGCTCAACTGTCAATAATTAATGATATATAATAATGATACCAGCCATATAGGCATTGAAATAAATATTTCAAAATGCCATTTCAAACGATACGGCAAACTAGATACTATATGAAAAACCCTTCTGTTATGGCACATCTAAAATGCTGGGTAAATTATTCAAAATCCTTTTTATTTAAAAAAGTGTTTTTTTATCTATAATATACTGGCAGCAAAATCAGAGAATTATCATAGTGAGAAAGCAGTCCCATGGAGCTGGTATTTGCCTGAGGGTATGTACTCTCAATAGAAATCTGGAGCTAGGAGTTTTGGAAACCAATAGGAGAAGAGAATAGGAAATGAAGCTTGCAGATAAAGTAGGGTGTATGGTCTGATTAGAGAACCTCACATCAGCCAGGATCCTGTAGGAGCAAACCTCAGTGGGTGAACTAGAAAATGAAATTAGCCTCCTGAGAGAACTGGAGAACATACAATCTCAGCCTTGGCTTAATTGGAAACAGAACAACAAAAAATCTGAGAATTCCTTACCACAAGTCTGCATAAATTTACCCATGCGAGTTGATATGTTAAAAATGGCAGAAAAAACAAATGTTATCATACTTAATGGACTTTCTCATAAGCAATAAAATATCAACATGAGACTGGTATGGGCCAAATAAATCTTAACAAAATTCCGGTTTAATGTGGTCCCATTTTGGTAAAGCACATCCTCCCATAAGATTCTTCTCTAATACTTGGTCTCAAAAATTCCCTCAGAGAAATTTCTAAGGATTAGAGTTAACAATCAAGAATCACCCATACATGAAAACAAACAAGCCACTATGAGGAAGAGTCAGCAGAAACAAATCATTGAATTAGACTAAGACTATAGATATTAGAATAATCAAATGTGGAATACAAAATAAATAAGTTTAATAAATTTAAAGAAATAAAAATAGATATCACAGTTTCTTCTTTTATTAATTTATTTTTTTAAATTTTTATTTATTTGAGAGAGAGAGAGTTGTGGGGGCAGGGGCAGAGGGAGAGGGAAAGAGTCTTAAGCAGACTCTGAGCTGAGCACGGGGCCTGATGTCGGGCTCCATCTCACAACCCTGAGATCACAACTTGAGCTGAAACCAAGGCTCAGATGTCTAATTGACTGTGCCACCCAGGTGCCCCCACAATTTATTCTTATAGAAGAAATTGGAATTTACCCAATATCAAATTAGACTTACAAATCAAACTTCAAAGTCTTAAAATCATGAAACATTTCAAGGAGAAAGTGTTGAGAAAAATCAAGAACATTAGTAGATTGTAATCTTGAAACCAGACATATACAGAACACGTTTGCCTACAAGTGGCAAGTGAAAAGAGGAACAACATGGGGTGTCTGGGTGGCTCAGGTGGTTAAGTGTCAGACTCTTGATTTCGGCTCAGGTCATGATCTCAGGATCGTGATATCCAGCCCTGCATCAGGTTCCACACTTAGCATGGAGTCTGCTTAAGATTCTCTCTCTCTCTCCCTCTTCCTCTGGTCCTCCACTCTCTCTCTCTCTCTCTCTCTCTCTCAAATAATAAATAAATAAAACCTTTAAAAAAAGAGAAATAATAATTTCTACCAAATATTAGATACTCCTATATGGCCTTTACATATGCAACCTAATTGAATCCTAACAAAAACTTTGAGAGCTAAGTATTATTATTCACTCTTTATTATACAGTAAAGTCAGGCTCAGAGAAATTATGTGGTTTTCTTGAGATCACATGATGTCGGTGATAGAATTGGGATTACAACCTGACCACTGTGGTTCTTTCATATCCTGTTCTGTTAATATACAGCCTAATTCTGTTCTCTGTTTATCATTTTGAAAATCAAGGAAATAAAAAAACCCCTGGTTATTATATATTCACATGCTTGTCTTTTTTCAAGGAAGTTTCCTATAAATCCTATAAATGACTTTATTTGATGCTTTAAACAATCCCACTTTAAAAAAAAACAACAACACAGAGACCATGGAGGTATATTATCTCTGCATACTGATCAGTGATGGGCAGAGCTGAGATTCCACATGGTCTCCAAAGTCCCTGCTCAAGATCTCCTGCAGTTGCCTTTATGCCACAGTATACATCTAAAGAGATGGTGGATTAGGTACTGGTAGCACCTACCTGTTGTCACCTTCTCTGGAGAAAAAGACCGTGAAGGTTTGAATGTTCCCTTTTGCTTCTGCAGGTGGGCGCCAGCTGAGACGGACAAACCGACTGGAAACCAACACAGGAACCACATCTCTGGGAGCAGAAGGGAGGACACTGGAGCTTGGGATAGCTAGGGAGGAAGAAGAGGTGGCTGTCAGAGGTGTTGGTGCCATGGATGGGAAATGTGCAGGAAGGCAAAACATTAGCAAACATAGAATGGTCCATTCTAAAGGAAGGAAAAAACACAAGGGAAAGCAATCATACTAATGGAATCAAAGATACATTAGAATTCCTTGGAGCTTATGAAAGGGTGGCTAATTAATAACATATATGATTCTACTGCATATTTGTCCAATTTCCATTACTAATGGGATCCATAACAAAAAATGTTCTGTTTAGGCATGACACAGAGACACATAGCCATGGATAAATGCCTCAGGTAACCAAGCAGTTATTATAAAACCTTATTCTACTCAGAGACTGTTTATCCTCTTTTAGATACAACTGGAAGGAACAGCAAATCAAAGTTGATGGAAGCTAACCAAAAGTAGAAAGAGTTCTTACAGACTACCTGCTAGAAAGGAACTGACAGAAAAAAAATTCTACCAGACATAAAGATACACAATTGTCCCACACTTGTAGAGTATCACTACATGTATGGCAAAATTTAACAATTGTTATTCATAGGAATAAATCATCCACAATTGAAGAACTCATTTTTTAAATATTCAGGGCATTTATAATCTATAATAGAATTTTCTATTAAATGTGTATATTCATAATTCATCTTCTTATTTTTTTCAAGTTCCCAAGGTTAGGAAACATATGTTTCATTCTGACAGGTGATTTCTAGCCCCAAATCACAAGGACCCATTTGCCTACATTTAATCTTCAAACTGGCTTTTGTGGGCCATTTTCCCTAGTTCTTATCAAAATTAGTCTCCATCCTTGCATTCACTTTCTCCAGGGGCTGGCTGAATCACTATTCCTACTGTGCACTACACTCCTGTTAGCTAGAAAAATCCACTGGGGTGAGGGCAGCTCTCTCATTTCTCAGTGGTTCCAGAAACATTATCAATTGACAATACATACCAGTTACATAGAGAAATAAGTTTTAAAGAACTGCAGAAAGCTTTCAAAGTTATTTCTGGCTCCATATATTCATAGCCAACTTCTTTATATGTAAAATTTCCCCTTGCTTTTTTGGTCAACACAGTATTTGAAACAAATGGTAGGCGGGCAGCAAGTTAGTCAATCTTTTGTGGCAGAGCGGTGAGGGGAGAGAGAAGACTGATGCCTGGATATGTAGCATCTATCTCAAAAATGTGGGTAATATTAAGCCTTCTGACAAAAACCTATACTTCTACATACCATGGACATCTCAAAGTAGCACACTTTATGTGAATTTATCCTCCCCACCCCCTTCACTGTTCACTCGGACTGCTTCTCTTCCTGGGCTACTCAACTCAGTTGTATCTACACTGTCCTCACAACTATACAGCCCAGAAGCCCAAAAGGTATCCCCTACCCCTAACTCTCTCTCACTCATCCTTTCTAGGATTCCCCCTCCTGGACATCTGGTAAACCTACTCCATGTTAATTCCACCACCACACCATCATTCTGTCTTCCTAGAACTGTCACAGCTGTCTCTGCTTTCTCCAGCTCTTCTGCCTTCCTTCCACTCATCTCCCTCAAATGTATTCTGTGTACAGACAGCATCCTGAATAAGCTTGTAAAAAGACACATCTGGTCATATTACTCTACTATTTATTTATCCTCAGGGTCTACTCTTTACCTCAGGATATCTCTAAACTTTGAAATGGGCCTATTGGCCTGGCTCTTGTTTATCACTTTTCTTAGTTTGGCTTCCGCCACAAAGAGGCCCTAAGAAACAGATTTAAGTGCAAATAGTTTATTTGGAAGGTGATCCAAGGAAGTTGGGAAGTGAGACAGCAGGGAGTAAAGGTTAGAAAAAAATGACTTATCTGCCAGTTAGCACTGTGGGGAGAAACTGGATGGCAACTCCACAGGGGACTCTGCGGGCCAGTGTGGCCCTGGCCTCTAGGTTATCTATCTTGAAAGAAGCAGGCTGAGGTGATTATCTACCACTCCTCCACCACTGATTGAGGGTGATTCCAAAGGCCATCCTGTATAACAGCCTAGTGTATTTCTGTTGCCAGAAAAATACCACTTTGGGGAGAGGCTTGCAAAGTTTCCACAGTAAGGAGCATCCATTAGCTCTACTCATCCAAAAAATATTCATAGAGTGCCTATCCAATACCAGCCCTTCTAGGTACAGAGGAGTTAATGGCAAAAAAATAGGTGAGGGCATTCCTCATCAAGCTCACATGGAGGCTCCCTGGCTTTCTCCCCCCACATCAGATGGGGAATGATTTGAGGGAGGAACATGCCACACAACAGTACAAACACCTAATCATCACACCTATGAATGATAAGAGGATCTGGAGGCTCCTTGGCTTTTCGCTGCTTGCACTAAGCAGGCTCTCCCCATGTGGATCCATTTTTGACTCCCTGAAGACTTCCCATAGCAGCTCACACTCTAACAGACCCATCTCATCCACCTAACTCCTACTGTCCCCCTTCACTTAGTTTAGTGTTATTTCCTCTGGAAAGAATGACCCAAAGTATTTGCAAAATTTTTAACAGGTGATAGTTAATATCTATAATATAAAACAAGTCCAAAAATCAATATAATAATAAAGAATCTTATCTTAAAGTAGGGTTCAACATAACAGTAAAATGTGCATTAAAATAAAATCTAAAAAGTCTGTCAGAATAAAGTGTATTAAAAAAATCTGTCAGAGTAGTAAGACTTTAAAGAATGTTAGTATCTAGGGATGGTCAGGATGTGACACTCTCTTACACTGTCAGTTGAAGTTTGTAAGAATAGTCTTTTTAGCAGATAATTTGGCAAAGTCCTTTAAAATGAAAAAAAAATCATACCATCAGACCATTCTCAGGTTTATAAATTTATCATCTAAAACACCCCTAAGTAACCCCTTTATCCATGCATCCTTGCAAAATCATTGCTCATTTTCTCAAAATGTAATACCTATATATCTTGCCAGTTTAAAGCAAATGGGATCATTACTAGATTTTTTTCTACAAAAGATTTTCTAAAAACAAAATGTGATCCATGATGACTTATAAAAATCTTTTGAGAATTCTCAAGAAGCTAGACAAATTAGTTTTAAAAGAACAGGGAGAAATTTTCAATTCCTTCTTCCCCAAAAGCCCCTCACTTAGAGATGGTATCACATCAAAAATGAGGTGGTTTCCCCACCTATTCAGGGGCTGCCAGAGGCAGAGCAATGGGAGTCTGTGCATGGATGCTTTTCTCCTCAGGCTTCCAAGAATGCCTTCTCACAGAACTAGTCTAGACGCAGATGACACAGATAAAGCTCAGAATAGAATTAATCATGGACTCTTTTACCTCAATTTAAACAGTCCTCATATGAAAAGGAACGGACACATTTTTAACAAAGGGATGATTTCTTTATACAGGGAATTAATTTTGTTCTTACTAATCCTCCATGCTTTTTCTCAACAGTAACTCCTCTCCACATAACATCTCAATAAGGAATCAATCAGGACTTTTTTTCTTTGCTCTTGGAGGCCTAATCTCCAGTCTGGCCCTAATCTCCCTGGTCCTTATTGTTGCCATGGTTACAGCTTCTTTGTCTGTTGTCATGGAGAAGAGGAGGTGAATTTACCATACTATAGTTTTTTTTTTAACTTATTTATAAGAATCTCTTTACTAAAAAAAAAAAAAATTATCAAAATAAAATCTAGGAAAAGGAAGTGATTTCTGAAAATAATAGAAATTCAAAGAATAGTTTTGAAACTTTGGTTTCTAAGTTACTAGTTACTACTACTACTAGTAGTAGTACTACTACTACTATTTTATGATGTCAGTGCAATAGCCTTGGTAACAATTACATTATTGGGTTAATTTTTCTATAAAGCCATATCCTGTCTAGATACCAGAGAGTTTGTTTCTCTTAGAATTTTACTCTGTAATGTTTACAGACATTAATTTTTCCCTGAGCTTATTAACTGCCTGACCTCCACTCCCTATGAGGCACATGAATGATGATAAGATGCATTCACAAAAACATGAAAATATTTAATTTGTATTAAACATCAAACAAGCAATAGGTTTATTTCCTTGTCATTCCCCATACTGTTAACTAAAATACTAAAAATGTAGCCACCAGATCAACTAGATCTTTTATTCACATCATCTCCTTATTAGCCTGAAGATTTAAGTAAAATATAAATAAGTAACATTAGGGAAATTAAAGGAACATTTAATTGTTCTCAGGGCAAACTTTATTTCTTTTCCTTTTGTATTTTTTTCTTATCATTGTTCCCTTGACCCTAAACTCTAGCTTTTAATTTCCAAACAAAGAAGTAGATAAAATTTACATTTTGGTTTAAAGTTTTTATAGTTCACAAAGTAATTTTGCAAACTTACGAAAAAGATGCTCGGCTGTATATGGTTGAAATTACAAAGAATAACAATTTTTTTCTAAGGTTTCATGTTATTTTCAATATTCAAAGAATCATGGCTTTCTAGCTAGTATATTGAAAACTTTAGTAAAACTAAGAAATGTGAATTTAAAAAAATAATGATTTGAAACCACTTTTTATTTTAAATTAATATGAATAGAAGTTAATGAGCTCTGTAATATTTCATTAAATTTTAATCTTTACATAAAAGAATTTATTGGGTTAGTCTCTAAAATGGAATAATCAATATCTATTGAATGTCTATCAAGTTCCTACTGTTATGCTTGAAGTGAGGAATTATTTTTAATTGCGTCTCTGCATATTAGTGAAGATGAAGTGTAGTGTCTGTTCTTATCAGTTTAGTATCTGATATGTTCTCTATCCGAGGACATGTATTCAATGGATTTTTGGAGCAGGGAGATGGAATATGAGCTTGCTCCACCCACTCCATACATGGACCCGGTATTGCAGTACTTCCAGGAATGGTGCACCCCCCCCACACACAAATAAATTATTTTTAAACTCTGGATTTTTCCCTAAGAGAATAGGAAACTCCTTTTTAAGACATAAGGTGTATACATGTAAGGCAATTACTA